GGAGAAGCTGTATCATATTTTAGACAGAAAGGTCCAAATGCCTGTAGGCGATGCAAATGCCTCGTTCCCTTGGGCATAGAATGAGCTGGTAGTCAGAGGTTGTTAAGGTGACCTTCCCTGGTTTTTAGACCCAGCCCCTCCCAGAAGTCAGGATGAGACACTGATGTTTGCAGGCAGTGGTCAGCACTTTGGGCTGCTGTGTGACACACTGTGGTAGCTCCAGGTCCGTTGCTCTCAAAGGCTGAGTGATCAGAAACAGCAGTGACCGTAGCCCCTCCGGTCCCCTAGATCCACACATTAGGGCAGCAGAGCACACAGGAGACGCATATCTTCTAGCTGTTTCCTTATGAGGGAGCAGTGCTTGTCCCCATACCTCTCTCCAAGAAACATTTTTGAGACCTTTTCCTTTCTCTCAGGCTTTCTCCGAAAGGGCTCAGGAGAGGGACAGTGAGTTCCTACCAGCACCGTTTGATACTGTGAAGTTCCCTGAGAACTATGCAGGTTTTTTTTTCCTTTCTTGATAGCACAGTGAAAAAGCATTTGAAAGAAACCAGCCAAGATCTAGGTTACAGATGAAGGCCATTATGCTGCGGTTACACAGGCTCGCTTTCTTTTAGCCGAGGAAAAAGTTAATCCCCGGGGAGCTGTTATTTCCCTGGCAGCTCCGGGCGGGAATGTTCGCAGTGCTCCGTTTGGCTACCGATAGGCTCAGATAAGTGACATTTACAAGGCTCCAAATAGGACCGAGCTATGGTATGCCAAAAATCCAGCCACACAGAAAGAAAAGATGTGTTCTCAAATTAGCTAGCAAGTTTTCTCTTGCTTTGGAGAATGATAGTGGCCCAGTTGTCTATGATAAGATCTCATTTGAAAGTAGCTGAAATAGTACTTATACAACTTAGAGTCACTGGCTTTGAGCCAGTGATTTTGAATTGATGAGAATTTTCTCTTCTGTCTAGCCCTATTTAAGATTTTGCTTGTGCTCATGTTATTTAGCTCTCCTCACAACCTTCAGTGCAGTAATAGTTTATGTAGCACTTAGCTACAGATTTTAATAACATTTATGTTGTCAGTGGTCTTCTAAGCTAATTACTTTAAATTTTAGTACAAAACTTATTATTTAATCTTTTCCGTAACCCTCTTTAAAAGAACAAACAAGGACAGTATGCTGTCTGAGGCTTGTGGGAATGTGAAGCAGAGGCTCAAATGCCTTAGGCTAAGCCAATTGCAAGGAGAATGGGTCCAAATTGGTATGCTGTGTTTGCATTCTCACTCCTTTCATCTTTATTTATGCTGAAGTATTGTTAAAATAAATGTTGTTTAGGTTGCAAAGACAAGCACTTAAACAGAAGTTCCAGAATTCAGCTTGTTCGTGTACAGAGGGATCTCATTTGACACTACTACGTGACTATTTATGAAGTGATACCCTCGTTTTCCCAAGGGATCCCACCCTAGCTCCTTGACTGACTGTACTGCAAGTTTTTTGTTTAAACATTGTTTTCATTCATTCCTAAATGAATCCTTCCTTATTCTTCATCCCAATTTTGCCATGTGACCTCTCTTCCTCACCCTCCCTACAGCATTCCTCCCTCCATATAGTATACATGCATTGCAGGCTGTCCTACAGCGTCACTGCATGCCAACAAAGCGATGCTGTCGAGGGTAGGAGCTTCACGTGGGAGCGTGGCCTTAACCACTAAAAACTGTGAGAAACCATCAGTAATCTGAAACCAACAAAACACGGTGTTTGGGAATATTATTGGCAATTTGCCCTACTGAATTAAAACCAATGATGTATGTGAAACCGCTTTCAAGTAGAATATATAAACTAATCTTGGGGAAGATCTGGCAACCATGCCACTGACTCCCAAGGGACTTCCCAAACTATGGCACCAATCATTCTTACCCAGCTGGACTGAGTTGAGATAATGAACTACTAATTACTAATCAACTCAAGGTCCCTATCCTGCCTACAAGAGGCAGGCCATTTCCTCCTGGCTGTGGAAGATGCAACAGCGTCCCTGGTGCTGCAGCCCAGGCTGGTGAGTGACAACTGGTGACCCTGATGTGATACATCCGTGAGACCCTGGGAAGCCCCGACTCCCTCGCCGAGCCAAAGGAGCCCGAGCCAAAAGAGCCGGAGCCGGGAGCTCGAGCGAGAGTCCTTCGGAGAAGAAGGTAAAGCCGCAAGCCCCGACGTGGTATTCGCAGGAGGGAAGCGTGCTGGAGTTGGATGAATGGGCCAGGTCTCTGCTCACCCATAAAGCCTTTGTGAAAACAAAAATGGTAAAACAAAAAGGGGGAATTATGGCACCAATCATTCTTACACAGCTGGACTGAGTTGAGATAATGAACTACTAATTACTAATCAACTCAAGGTACCTATCCTGCCTACAAGAGGCAGGCCATTTCCTCCTGGCTGTGGAGGATGCAACAGTGTCCTTGGTGCTGCAGCCCAGGCTGGTGAGCAACACCAAACCACTGGAGCAATGAGTCCTGTCAGTTCTCAAGTTCTTCTTTGAAAACTGTGACTCTTCTTAGGAGGAGGAGCAGAGGCACATGCTGCGCCAAGTAATCTACAGCTCAGGCTGGTAGGTAAGATGTGTGCGTTTGAACTTGCTCAGCTGAAGCAAGAGTTGAATCTGGGACCCTGCAAACACTCTAGCTATTAAATTCCTGAATAGAAGAACCCTGTTTTAGCCATTTCTTTGTGTTGATGAACACAAAACCTAACAACATGTTTTGCGCATTGTAGGCATATACAGGATATTCTGTGAGTACACATTCCGGATCAGATCCTCCTTGATGCATTGTGGCTGGAGGAACACCTCATTAGATATTGCTGGTCACTCATAGGCATCTTACAGAAAAATGATTTCTCAGCTTGTTTCATGTTGTATCATCTGTGTTTGCTGAGATATAGACCTTCACTTGTAAAAATGGAAATTTCTATAGTATTATGTCCATAGGGTAACATAAGAGATAAAATAATGGTTTTTTTGGTCTTTGGTGTCTAAATTCTTCCTAATATCTCAGTTTACACAGGATATGGACCTTTCCCTCTTTATGTTCATTATCCACATCATAAAGATGATAATATAATTATGTTATCTATAATAACTACTAATAGCTACCTCACAAGGGTATTGGAAAGAGTACATTAATACTGTGTTCAGATAACTACAACAATGGAAGACTATTTTCTCTTAGATAAAATATTCTCACTGGGGAAATGGCCATTCGCTCATTAAGATAAGGCACAGTATAGCAACCCATTCTCCAATTCCTACTCTGTCACCTCTCTCCTACTTTATGTGTGTCTCCCAAAATATGTAACAGAACAGAGAGTTAAATTACAGAGATGAAAAAATACTGATATTTCCTCTTGTTTCACATGGAGCAGTCCCTTAATAACTCACAGCAAGATAAACAAGAGGGAGGGAGAAGTCAGCCAGTAAAGACAGACCCAACTGTAATGATGCAAAGTAGTCAAAAAGTTATTAAACAGGGAGGAATTTTTTCCAGTACAAGTCAATTAGCAAAATTTTGTCTCACAACTGGATGTTTCTACAATGGATACACATTACACATACACACATTCAAGCGTGCATAGAAACAGGGGTAGGATTAAAAAGGCTTTGCTAAACTGATTTCTATGACGTGGAAAATCACATAAAACCATGAACTGACAGTTTTCCTATAGATCTTGCAGAAAGCAAACTAATATCTCCTTCCACGTGGTAGCACTCTCTCCAGCTTGGCATAACACAGTGTCTGCTTTAGTCTTCAGTTCCTATTTGAATAAGGAGCAGGATGCATGGCCAACTCCTGCATTAAAGATCTGTGGTAAAAATATATACATAACCCAGATGCTGTTTTCTCACTCTCTTTTTGAGAACACTTAGGCCTTGGAGTAAACATTTATTCTAAACAATGCAGGAGGAATGTGACTGCTCAGCATTGCCTAGGATTAGTGAGGAGGACTGGAGTATAGCTTTCGTTACAGTAAAGAAATATGTGATAGGAGAAGTATGTTTTGACAAGGATAATATTATTAACTGTACAAAAAGTTGCCTCATTAACCCTTCAAGAGATTTATGGGTGATTTTTGCATATTATATGAAGTAGCACTGCTTGCCGTGCCAGAGTAGATTCCAGGTCACACTGTGGTACCCAATGTGCTGTCTTAAAGATGGTGGATAAAAATCAACTCTCTCCTCAATGAGGAGACCAGATCATCAGCTGCAGCAGCATGGTAAAGCATCGTTATTGTCATTGAAGGAGTCTAAACTGAGACTTAATGAGGCTCTGTCTTATAGTCAGTAACATTACCATAATTTGTCACAAAAGGTTTTGTTAACTGTTGTGCACTGGACAGATTGATCCAAGATTAATGAGCTGCTGTCTGTTTTGAGTCATTTTAGTTGGGGTTTTCTTTACCTCCTTACTATGCACTCTTGTGTGCGTTGGTGTGAGTTGTTAAAAGACTGCTCCGTGCTAATGCTCACATAGTTGGCTGGATTTCAGTGACACTTTTTATGATTCCTGTCACTGAAGGCGAGAACTTCTGACTGATTAAAAAAAAAAAAGTTTCTGTACAAACTCATTCAACTATGCAAAGTATTTTCATTTTCTATTTAGTATATAAATGCTGTGCTAATTCTGGTTGTTCTTAATATCGCTTTACTTAAAGGAGACTTTTCTACTCTCTTGATTTTGTAATAAACATATCCTTGGGAGACTGCTCTGCAGTCCTTTGATTTGGCTGCCACTTGTTCACTTGAGGCTCTCCCCCTGACTGTAGTTGTTAGTCCATGGGTACCAACAACCCACAGACTCGGGGGCCACAGCGTGAACTGAGTGTTATGTCTTTAGGCTTCAAAGAAACTCATCTAAACACAGAAGGCAAGCAAGGTGCCAGGGAGATGGTAACAAGAACGATCAGACGCACGTTGCCTCCACAACTGGGCAGATATCACAATCACCTTGGGTAGCTACGTACACTTGCTGCAACCACAGCCTGTAATTTTTCTCTGGGAAGCTATACTCCAAGTCATCTCCTAAATGTTGTTCTTTTGCCCTTGTTGGAATTGCCTCTCACCCTTCTGGCCTTATCTATTGCGTTATACCGGCTGCAGCTATGAAAACACTCTCCCACTGATTCAACCACATCATACCGTTCTCAAGTCTTTAGACAGTTTCTGTCTTGCTAAAGGCTTGAGGTCTAGACAGTTTGTTTTTTCTTCCCACGGAGTGGTTTATGGGCTTTTATCATTCAGTAGATTTTTCAGATCTTGGAAATTAGCCATTAATAATTTGCACATTTGCAATACACATTTGCACTGAGGCAAAGTGTATCCCGTTCCAAGCTCAGGAAACCTACTTTCGCGTTAAGTTAACCAACCTAAGTTAACCAAAATTCAGCAAAAAGACTCAGAAAAGTACAAAGCGATTTTTGGAACTCCATGTGCTGCACTGGGACAGGCTATTCCCACAAAATGTAATCTAGAAGATAAGCACAAAGTCCATAAATCTAGAAAGACCTTCCTTGGTGCTCTGGGGTCTTTGGGTGGACGCATCACGTTTTTAAGG